AACAGAGGGAGACACACACACACCTATGGCGCACCCCACGGATACACGCAAGTCCTCGGACGCTTCTCGCGGATTTGTAAGCAGTGTTCCTGGAAAGTCAGCTGCATGACACCGCTGTGGCAAGTGCTAGTTGACTCTAGCACCAGCCCCAAAGCGTCATGAGATCTGCCTTGAAGGCAGCTCTTTGTCAGAGCTTGAACTTGTGATTCCTGCCTGGTGCATTGCGGACTTGCATGTTGAAATCTTACTGTAAGGAACTTTGTCTTTGTGACAGCACCCAGCAGGCACTGCTTGACAAAGGATCAGTGTGCTCCCCTCCAATCATGGCAAACCAATGAAGTCGTAAAGCAGCAGAAGTATCAGTATCGGAAAATGTGGGCACGCCTCTGGCCAGCGTCCCACAGCCTCACCAGCTACGCTGAATCTGTGCTGGAGGTGACCCAAAACCCGCAGTGGCCATGCTCCGAAACGCTCAAGACCGTGAGCCCGAGCCTTGCAAGCAGTGACTGCCTGGCTCAGGAGAATCATGCCTTAGCAAAACTGAACTGGCGCACACAGAAATGCTCGCCAGTTCATGCCCAGGCACACTGAACAGCAGTCGTTCGCAGCAGCATTTGGGACTCCTCGTTTTGCTTTACACTGTACACAGGAACGACAGTCGGTGCAAGTCTCATGTGGCTATGCGGCAGACTAGCGGTGTAAGAGAAGGGTTGCAACCGAACGTCGGCTGTCACCCATACAAAACCTGCTGAGAACAAGCAAAAAAGCAAACTCATGGGTGGCTTTGACAGCGCGGCTACCTCTGCTGACAGTCTGACTGGGTTGCTGGGCAGGATCTTAATCTGCGGTGCTCGTGTACGCAGGCATGCCACTTTCCCACGAGATCGCAGCGTGCTGATGCGATATGGATGCTCCGGTCGTTTTAGTCATGCTATTATCTAATGCAAAGCCTGTGATTTGGATGCTAAGTCTTGACACAGCCTTGCACGGCCTGGCAGCACACAGCTTCGCGCATGCCCCAACTCACCCTTGATTTGAGGCTCTGAGCGCGTGAAGAAACGTCTGAGAAAGTGTGGTGTGAGAGAGAGGCCGGGCTGAGGGGCTGAGAGAAGTGAAGACCAACCGGCTGCATCATGGCTTGGCACCATCCATGCTTCAGGTGTGTGCTCGCGACTGTTCTTGTGCTCTGCTAGTGCGTGCAGGTGACAGGACACGTAGGTGTTCTGAAAAAATGATCTGCAGACCAGGTTCTTCAATGTAGTCCTGCCGCAATCGGGAAGTCAAACAATCACGAACAGCATTCTGCGTAGCTACAACAAGAATGTGCTAGCAGCAACATGGGCTTAAAAATGAGTTCGCGGACACGTCATCGCAACTTCAGAGGACCAGCTGCTCTCACGAATACACCTGCAGAAGCAGGCGAGCCTCCAGAAGCTTGGAGCTCTCCAGTTCTTCTGCTGGTGCCCTGGGCATGACATGTCTCATTCGCCAATTCATCTGGACTAGCTTGTATCTGATATAGCCCTGGAGGCAAGAAACTGGGTGGCTGCTGATCGTATTCGCTGCCAGCTAGCCAGATTCTGACCTTGACTGGGCTGCAGTTTAGCACGCGTCTGCATCCTAGACTCTAGACACACCTTGAATCTCAGTAGCAGATGGAACGCATCAATCCAAGACGCCAAGCAGATCAGGAGGAACTTGGCAAAGGCCCGTGATGACAAATGCTTCGATGAGGGTTGACAGTGCCACAGCCTGCGGGCTTGACTGCAGCTTTCAATCTGACCTCAACTGCACCCGATAAGGCAGAATTTGGCACTCAAATATGTAGGTTGCCTTGTCAGACAAGCTGATCTTCTTGTGCCTGAGGCAGGGACACCGATGCAAGTCCGATGTCCAACTCTTGAGCGAAAGCACAACAAACCCCAGTCACCCCTGCACCATCAACTGCTTGCCTCACTGCATGCGTCACGGCTCGGGTCTCGGCCAAGAACAGCGCACTTCCTAACTGGTGCCTCAAGTATAAGGCCGTGCCACATGCTTGCACACAACCAGCCTCACAAGCGAAGCGAAAACTGGATGCCGGCTGGCCAAGTAACCGAAACTGCTCCTGCCCCATGCACCACTCGGCAAACTGAAGCCTGTGAGGAAAAAGTGGCAGAGAGTGTTGCCACCAAGACTCATGAGTTGCTATGAGGATCCGTTTCCTCCTGTTACGGGTCCGGGCCACTGCTGCATGCAATCAAGTTCATACTCGACTTGATGATAGTCTTCGTGAAGAATCCTCGGTCAGGGGTTGAACACACAAGGAGGTCTAGAATGATTGGGGGTCTGATATAGGTGTTGTATAATTCTAAAAAATGGCCAGGGAGGGACGTTCGTGACACAAGAATCGACTAATGCCTTGCGAGTGTCACTACATCCGCAGCGGCCGGGCTCTCTGTGGACAGCGCATTCACGCGAGCACAGAGGCCCTGTGGTCACAGACTGTCCGGCTGTTTTGTCAGCTTGTCACTCGCACAACTTGCCGCAGAACAGAATGAAGTCAGCTCTGCTGAGACTGCGCCTCCCGAATCACTGACTTCGGGGTATCCCGGCAGCCCATAAATTGCGCAGGCATCTTGCAGGGTGCAGAAGCGGATGAGACAACCTCTAGACTCTATTTGCTGCCCTCACAGGCGCATCTGCAAAACAGCATCTGCAGCCTGAGTCTTCTGGTCAGCAAGTACTTGCACAGGCTTCCCTGAGCTAAGACGTCTAACAGTCATGGAGACGAACTGCCTCCGCATAGAAGTCGTGCAAACTCCTCACGCGCACACACGCAGAAGCGTATCAATATAAATTGAAGAGAGGCCGGTCCCTCCAACAGCTCCAACAAAGCTCATCACTGCTAGAAGCCAGGGCATAGCATTCGTGTTCAAGTTGGTAGCTGGCCATGCAGTTGTCTTGCCCGAGTGCCTGTTGGGCGGCTCAAAGCTCACGACGAAGCGATGATTTTTGAGAAAGGTACTCTGGCCAAAAGGGCAGGACCTTGACAAAGCATGTCTGCAACTTTGCATGCACGTGCTGAAAGTCTGCATCTTGCGCCCGGAATCCACCCTGCTTGTGCGTGTCTACACTGGCATCTGGCCGTAACTTGCTGTCGCCGATTGGCCATAAGCCAAGCATTGGCCAAGCTGCTCTCCTATGAAGAGCCTGTGCTTGTGGATCGTCAGTTCGACAGCACCTGGCATTAGTTGCACTTGATCGGATGGTCAACTCCAGGCAAGCAGGCCTGCATGATGGCATCCGCTTGTAGCATTCCCAAGAAATTCACCACCTACAAGTCAAGAGGAGATGCAGCAAAGCAAAGTAGCCTCAAAGGCATGCTGCAGTCTGCAGCCTGCTGAAAAGAATCGGATGGTTCCAGTCTGTCCAGGATAGAGCTTCTGGAAGGAGAGGACCTGATTCGGATTATTTTTAAGTGCTTTGTTGATGCACCCAGATCTGCAGTCCGTACAAGGGCTGCAGCGCATTGGCCCGCCGCAATGCAAATCGGCTCGCGCAAGACGATGGTTTCGGAGGTGGCATTGCCTTGTGTCCATACTGGGCAGTCACTCCAAGAAGAACGCAAACAGGCGGGGCCCTCGGTTGTGGCTCAACCCTATGATTCCTAAGGTGAAAGTTAAAGAAATGGTCTCCAACTGGGCCAAGCTGCTCACTCGCACCACAAGGCTCCGGTCTTCCCAAGTATCCTGCTAACTCAGCAAACTGCAGGTCACGTTTTTGGGTACGAGTCCCCAGTGTCGTTTGGCATCGAAGCCTTACAGCTGCACACTTGGTCTGCCGGTCCTGAGTCAGTCGACGAACTCCTCTCTTGGCGATCTTCACAGCACCTTCCAAAACATTCCTCAGTCAGATTGATTCTAAAAGTTGAAATGAGGTCAGTCCCAAAACTGTCCCGTGCTAGGGATGAGACCCAGCTTTCTAGTATAATTAACTGTCTGCCTTCCTGGATGGGAAGGCCTGAACTGGAACTTGCCTTGATGAAGCGGCTTAGCATTGGCGGCAAGGAGCATCGGGCATCTGCTCCAGCGGGAAGGGCGTGACACCAGGCCGCCATCTGTGGACGACCCTCATTCAAAAGACTTTAGAGGCGTGTCCCGAACTTGCTGAATTAAGCGTGACCGAGCCAATTGTGGGAGGTATGCGCGGGAGCTGCAGGATGCAGGAGTGCCCTGACGCAGGCTGCGGCTGACAACGAGACGAGGTTCTGCCTTGATGATGGTGCATGCACATGCTGTCACATGTTTGTTCTGATATGCTGTGAGACGTGGCTGCAAAATAACAGGCAGCTGTCACGGCTATTGCAGAAGGACAGGCGCTTCAATGCCGCTGGAGTTCGATCGAAGTGAACCCAGTCAAATGGCGAACACCAACAAAAAACACGAGGCCAGATTGTGTATTGCACTTGCTGAAGTCCACATCAACAGCACAAGGCGCCAAGCCAACAGAAAGTGGCCCAAGTGGTTTGCAGCCATGGTCTCCTCGAAGCCGTCCTGTGCCCAGATTAATCATTATGATCTGCAATCCGTCTGACCACTGCTTCCACATCGCCTGGGAAAAATCATTCCTTCATCGCTTCCTCCAACCTGCCTGCTTGAGTGATTTATTGGACAGGTTTTAGTGGCCCGCTCTGAAAGCAGTTTAAACAGCTGTCGAATGCAGCGAATTGGACAAACGTGTAAAGCCACCCTGTCAGCCTGTTGGGCCAGGAATACAGCTAGAAACCACAGGCCATGATAAACCTAAATCTCGTGGACTTGGAATTGTGTGTCTGTGTCGCTGTCCTGCCTCCGTCAAGGCTCTACTTCGCCGCATGACCCCAGCCTGGCTAGGCAAAAGCTGAACTCCGGGGAGGGCGAGGGATCTATATCGTGCTGTGAATACTGCACATGTCTACAAGACAGGTCAGCAGAACATTGAGCACAACAGTGTCCACCTGCAGTCGAATCATCGAAAGTGTCTGTGAATGCTGAATGCTGCACAAACGACTGAAGCCTTCAGTTCACTTGTGATCACCACTCGCATCAGTTAGCTCATAAGTCAGAACTGGCGGGCGCATGGAATCACCTGCAAGTTCGGACCTGAGAAATGTATTTTAGGAGTTTTTTGTTTTCTGAAACCTGAAAGTAGGTGCGCCTCGGGGGGGTCGCCCAAAAAGCAGGGGCTTGAAAAGCACACGTTGGAAAACTTTAACGCATGCTCACGTTCCACAAGTACTTTTCCTCATACTTTCGTTAGCTGCTCCCCGGCCGGAGGTATCCGCGAGTCTGGGTTGGGGGGGTTCTTCGTCCTGGCATGAGGTCCTGCCATGTCCGCCATCTGGGAGAAGAGCGCAGTCGCGTCCATGCTTGTGGGTAGTGTAAATTTTGGGTTTCACGGATTTGCTGCCTGTTACATGACCTTCTGCCGAGAAGCCAGTGACGGCGTAGATCTCCTGAAACGTTCTCTTGCTTCAACGCGGCGGCCTGCTCACCGAAGCCTCGCAAGGGCAATTGCCACCAGCGCCACAGAGGGAGCTGGCCCTTCCACGCGAGGGTGGGTAATTGAAGCTTTTGGTGAACGCCGACAGACGGGCCATGCATTGATTTGGTGGCGTACGACACGCCAATTTTGTCATCCAGTTTTCGCTTCTGGCAGCAAAGCAGGCAGGTGCATTGCAACAGCCATGCATGGCCCGAGCAGCTGCGAAAAGTGGTTGCCCCTAGGGGCATGCGGGTGCAGGGCAAGCTGCTGCTAAAACAGCACGTCGTCGTCGTCGTCGTCGTCGTCGTCGTCGTCGTCGTCGTCGTCGTCGTCGTCGTTGTTGCGCAATAGCATGCCCACGGACTTCTGAACCGACGAGCGCAGCATGCTGTTTGGCTGCGAGCCCCTTTCTGCTTCCTCCTGGTCCTCTCCTTCTCTTCGCTTCTCTTGAGTTTTGTCTGCAGTTCAGCTGGAGCGCTGGCACGGCGCTGGCCCTTCCCAAGACATCACGCGGAACTGCTGCTCCTTTTCCTGCTACGCCACAAGGGCTAGGTTCTCCACTGTCCCACCTGCAAGTGAGACACAGCAGTATAGTTACGCCTTCCAGATTGAGTTGACCCTACTTGTTGATCATGTTTTATGGCAACCCCCTGTCGCGCAGTTCTGGTGCCAAGCGCCTGGATTAAACAATATGGGGAGTTCAAGCCAGCGCAACTGCACGAGCCGACTTTTCTGATGCTTTTCCAAGAGTTGGCTGGCTCGCTCTTCACCTTAGATCTCTCCCAAAAGATATGCACAGGTGCGTGGTTTCATGTTGGAAGACAGGACTGGAGCCTCACCTCGACCCAACCAACCACGCTGAATTTTCCCAGTGCCACAATCAATGCCTCATCTTATTCAATCACAGCTGCCGGGCTCGTAGATAGACTCCAGGCCGAACAGAGCCTGCGGCAGGCCGCTTTGAGAAAACTTCAGTAAGCGCAAAATATGGTGAAAAGCAACACCATCATGATACACAGAGCTCTGTTGCGAGAACAGCCCCCGTTTGGCCCTGTTCTGCTTACTGTCAGCAGGCAAGCGGCTGCCCCATGGATGTAGATCCCAAGAAAGGCCGCCTGGCTGCAAGCCATGGCATGGCATACAAGCTTGAAACGCTGTGCGCGCTAAGACACTGATCCCAGCCGCTGAATCAGTCTGCCTCTCCTAACACCAAATGCCTGGACCCTCCCGAAATGAAAGCTTTCCCCAAACCAATGGCATCCTGCGCTAGGCTTGAGATCAGGCAATCGAAGATCGCATAGTGTGAGGCCAGAAAGGCCCAGTACCAGTGGTGGAGATGCAGTTTGCATCCTGACAAGCAAGCTTGGCTTCAGCTTGGCTTCATTGCAAGCACTGGAAAATTGCTGACACATTTACGAACTTTTGCGTGTAGCCTGGACATCCCTCACTCGCAGCATGTGCGCCCAGGGCAAGTGCCACCCAAGCGACCTTGGTGAGCTGTCAAGTCTCAAACCTGTATACCTGTTGCTTGTCACAGCCACCAAACTTTTATCTTGCCGTGTCCCAGGTACTTGCATGAATACACAAGCCCTCATTCCTCGTCAAGCAGAGGGACATACTCCCAGCCAACACCTGTTTGGAACGCCAAGGCAAAGTGGTCGAGGAGGACGCCTCCACAGCTGCACGCAATTGCACAGAAGCACGGGTTCAGCGGTTGCGGCGTCCCATCTCAGAGCACAGAGCACCGCAGCCACCGGGGTAGCCAACCGAAGCTCGTCTGACATTGTTTTTCTTCCGCTCAACATGAGGTGGCTGGAGTCAGTCCAACAATTCAGGCACCGAGAGCCTGAGAAATGAACTTGCATTCCAGCCAACTTTTCGCCAGCATCTGTTCACAGCATCTATCTGCTGAAGTGACACCTTATGCACGTTCACTAGGGTAAACGCCATGGCAACGAAGTCGGAACGGACGGAACGTAGGGCCCGCCAGCGTCAACTTCGGAATGATCTACAAAATTGTATGCAGCTTGCAGTGACTGCATCCCAGCTTGTCGAATGACAGAGGCATGATCATCTGTCCTTTTCATTCCTTTTCATGTTATGACCAAAGCCACCGATAAATTCGACATGCATGGGCTCGACATGGCAACAAA